ACAAACAAACAAACAAACAAACAAACAAACAAACAAACAAACAAACAAACAAACAAACAAACAAGATTATTTTTGAAGTGGAAGCTGCTCTTCTCGTATTAAATTAATGCCTTATCGTGCAAAAGGAGAGAAAAATTAAGAATAACAATAACACTGCTTCTACTTCTGCTGCTGCAGCTTCTGCTGCTGCAGATGCTGCTGCTGTAGCTTCTGCTGCTGCTGCTGGTGCTTATGCTGCTTATGCTGCTGGAGCTGCTGCTGCTGCTGGTGTTGTTGCTGCTGCCGCTGGTGTTTTGCCGTGCGTCTCATTGTTTGAACTGTTTGCTGCTTTTGTTTTGCTATGCATTTATTTCTCTTTTGCTGCATGCCAGCTGCCTATACACCTCAGCTATTGTATTTCTACAGAATAACGGCTGGGAGTTTAATTTTCGCATGAGGATTTAAAAGACACAGTCTATTTTTATTATAAACCCTAAACCCTAAACCCTTAATCTAAAACCCTAATCTGAATATGCAACCAACGAGATATCGCCTGATGTATGCATGCAGAAAGCATGCAAGTAGAAACGTAGCAGCAGCAGCAACAGCACCTGCTGCAGCAACACAACAGCAGCAGCAACCAAAGCAGCAGCAGCAGCACCTCCAGCAGCGACACAACGGCAGCAGCACCAACAGTAGCACAGGCATCTGAAACACAACAGCAGCAGCAACAACAGCAGAAGCAACAACAGCAGCAGCTCCTGCTGCAGCATTGCTAGCAGCAGCTGCTGCATCCCTAGCAGCAGCAGCATAAAAAGCTAATCAATTAGAGACGCCGAAACACCTTTACACAGAAAAATAAATATTAAAATTAATGTAATAAAGAAAATAAACAAAACAATTAAAATATATACTGTAGATAGAAATAACAAAGCCCTAACTGCAACAACCCAGCGGCTGCAACAAACGCAGCAGCATCAGCAGCAGCAGCAACAGCAGCAGCAGCAACAGCAGCAGCAGCAGCTTAACCCCTTTAATTTTCGTATAAAACCCTTTAAATTCAGTTAAATAAATAATTAAAAAGGCATTAAGAATAAGAAGTATCAAGGGCTAAGTACTGTTAGTACAGGGCTGCATGCACAGCAGCTGCTATTGCTGCTAAGGAGCAGCAGCAGCAACAGCAGCAGCAGCAGCAGCTGCTGCTGCTTTTGATGCTGCTTGTATCCTTCACATATATATAAAATTGAATTCTATTTTCATGTTGAGGTGTACATACACCGTAAATATATTTTACAAATCGTTCAAAGTCGCAACCTTCCCTCTCGCCTCTGCATATATTGCCCCTAAACCCTAAACCCTAAACCCTAAACCCTAAACCCTAAACCCGTATTTTTTCTGTTTTTTTGAGTTTTGTTTTGAACATTGCGTGTTGAAGTTTCGAGTGTTATAGGGGTAGGTTTAAGTGGGTGTAGTCTGTTCAAAACCTTTAGGGTTTTGAAGGGTTTTTAAGGGTTTTAAGGGTTTTTAAGGGTTTTTAAGGGTTTTTAAGGGTTTAGGGTTTAGGGTTTAGGGTTTAGGGTTTTGAAAATGGCGGACGATGAAAACGATCATATGTTCGCTGAACCCGCTTTTGGTGACGAGTTCGGAGATGAGTTAGGTGAAGAAGATTTAGATGAAGACATAGAAGAAGCAGATGCAGCAGCTGAAGATGTTGATGTTGTTATTGACCCAAACGACCCCAGACTCCAAGTAAACCCTAAACCCTAAACCCTAAACCCTTGGGCACAGTAAATGCTGGAGTAGGGAAAGTCCTCGGCCCACAGGAACTATGCAAACCCTAAACCCTAATTAGCAATTCACTCTTATGAGCAATACTAAACCCTAAACCCTAAACCCTAGTCATTGATATATTAGGGCCGTATATTCTTCATGTAGGTAGGCGGTGTTGCTCCCGTATATAGATTCGAGGGTGTAATGTTTCAAGGGTTTAGGGTTTTGAGTGTATATTATATTAGGGTTTAGGGTTTAGAGCGTATATTAGGGTTTAGGGTTTAGAGTGTACATTAGGGTTTATGTTTGTTTATTGTTGTTTATCATTTCTTATGGTTGTTTAGGGCGTATCGTTGTTTATAGTTGCATATAGTTGTTTAGGATTTATGATATATGTTTATAATTGTTTATAATAGTTTATAATAGTTTATAATTGTTTATAATAGTTTATAATAGTTTATAATTGCTTATAATTGTTTATAATTGTATATAATTGTTTATAATTGTTTATATTTGTTTCGGGTTTCGGGTTTAGGGTTTAGGGTTTAGGGTTTAGGGTTTAGGGTTTAGGGTTATGTGTATAGAGGCCGGAGGCTCATCCATCGGAGGGTCCGCGTATAACGACACCTTTTCTGACAAAGTTTGAGAAGGCACGTATAATAGGAACAAGAGCTTTACAGATAAGTATGAATGCGCCTTTAACAATACAACTAGAAGGCGAGTCAGACCCTTTAATAATTGCTGAAAAAGAACTTTATCAGAAAACTCTACCTTTTATTGTCCGAAGATATCTACCCGATGGGAGTTACGAAGACTGGAAGATCGATGAGCTTGTTATTGATTAAACTTTATTATCTTTATTAAACTTTATTATCTTTATTAAACTTTATTATCTTTATTATCTTTAACTTTATCTTTATTATCTTTATTATCTTTATTATCTTTTTCTTTATCTTTATTATCTTTAACTTTATCTTTATTATCTTTATTATCTTTATCTTTATTATCTTTATTATCTTTATCTTTATTATCTTTATTATCTTTATTAAACTTTATTAAACTTTATTATCTTTATTAAACTTTATTATCTTTATTATCTTTATTATCTTTATTATCTTTATTATCTTTATTATCTTTATTAACTTTATTATCTTTATTAAACTTTATTATCTTTATTATCTTTATTAACTTTATTGTCTTTATTATCTTTATTAACTTTATTATCTTTATTATCTTTATTATCTTTATTAACTTTATTATCTTTATTAACTTTATTATCTTTATTATCTTTATTAACTTTATTATCTTTATCTTTATCTTTATCCTTTTTATCTTTATCTTTATTATTGATTAACTATCTTTAACTTTATCTTTATTATTTTCTTTATTTCGTTTATTGTCTCTATTATTAGCTTTATTATTATCTTTATTAGTATCTTTATCTTTATTATTAGCTTTATTATTATCTTTAGCTTTATTATTATCTTTATCTTTATTATCCATAGCTTTATTATTATCTTTATTATCTTTAGCTTTATTATCCTTAAGCTTTAGCTTTATTATTATCTTTATTATTATTATTATCTTTGTTATTATCTTTATCTTTATTATTAGCTTTATTATTATCTTTATCTTTATTATCTTTAGCTTTATTATTATCTTTATCATCCTTAGCTTTATTATTATCTTTATTATCTTTATCTTTATTATCCTCATCTTTATTATCTTCTTTATTATCCTTAGCTCTATTATTATTATTATCTTTAGCTTTATTATCATCTTTATTATTATTACCTTTATTATTATTATTATCTTTATTATTATTATCTTTATTAGGCTTATGATGATGATGATGATGATTATTATTATTATTATTATTATTATTATTATTGTTTTATCTATAAACTCTTCAATAATATAAACTCTCTTCTCATTGCTTTTTATTATTTTAACGCGTCTGTCGATATCTCTTATTTATTATATTATTTTTCTTTTAATTATAAATCCGTTCAGTATATAAACCCTTTTATTATAAACCCTCAGTAAACCCTAATAATAAACCCTCTTATTAAACTCTTCTATTAAACCCTTTAATTCTATTGTTGTCTTCTACTAAACCCTTTTATTATAAACCCTTCTTATTAAACCCTAAACCCTAAGCAGTCTTAAACCCTTGTAAACCCTCTTAAACCCTCTTAAACCCTCTTAAACCCTTAAGTAAACCCTAAGGAAATCCTTACAAACCCTCTTCTCCAATTGAAAACACTCACTGTTACTAAACCCTAATTATAAACCCTAATTATAAACCCTAATTATAAACCCTAATTAACCCTCAGCTAAACCCTCGACTAAACCCTTGTAAAGAATCGATTAAACTTTCATTAACCCTCAAAAACCCTAAACCCACAAATATGTGAATCAGCCCTAAACCCTAAACCCTCCTAAACCCTAAACCCTAAACCCTCCTAAACCCTAAACCCTAAACCCTCCCAAACCCTAAACCCTAGACACTAAACCCTTACGTACACCTCAGGGAGATGGCAAGCAAAAGACAAATAATTTTTTGTTTTGTTTGTTTTGAAATTAGCTGAGTTCGACTCAACATTAATAATAAAGGAGACATAAATAAACACATTTACTCTCAATATATTTACGCAAACAAATATTACTGCTGCTGCTGCAGCAGCTGCTGCTGCAGCTGCTGCTGTTTCTGCTGCTGTTGCTGCTACTACTACTACTAATATTGCTGCTGCGGCTGCATTGCTGCTGCTGCTGCATCTGTTGCTATTTCTGCTGCTGTTACAACTCCAGCAGCAGCAGCAGAAACAAGCCAGCAGCAGCCCCACCACCATCATCATCATCAGCAGCATCATCAGCAGCAGCAGCAGCAGCAGCAGCAGCAGCAGCAGCAGCAGGAGGGTGTTAACGTTGTTTAGGCTTCTTTTTTTGTAATTTTAAGCTGCTCAAAGACGAGTATACACCAGAGATGTTTAAGAAAGCCTTCTGCTTCTTCATCAAGAAATCTGCTTAACTCGTCTAACAACTCTTTAGGCTGAGGCTTCTCATTAACTCTATTTAAAATATATTCTATTACTTCTGCTAGCAGCGCTTCCTCCGTACCCATCAACTCCATTACTTTCTTGCGAACCCACGGCCTCAGCTTCTTCTCTATCACGTCAGCCTATAAACAAATAAATAAACAAATAAACAAATAAATAAATAAATAAATTAATTAGTTAATTAATACACTGTAACGGTATTGACGCTGTTATTATTCACAAACATCCTGCGGCTGTTGCTGCTGTTGCTGTTGCTGCTGTTGCTGCTGTTGCTGCTGCATTCTATTGTTTTGCTGGTATAAGCATTATATATTATAAAATGTATATTAGACATTGTATATATTATATATTATATATATTATATATTATATATTATATATTATATACAACATATATTAACACGTTATAGGATATTATATAAAGTAAATAAAATACATAAAATATAAACTGCATGCACTAATAAAATAAAGAGAAAAACTCTCAGCAAAAAAAATTATTTTTAAATATCTAAACAGAGACAGCCAGCAGCTGTATAGACAGCTGAGGTGTATGCTGCATGCACCGCAAGAGAAGTAAATGAATAAAATAAATTAAATAAATTAGAATAAAAACAAATAAAATAAAGAAAACACACAAACATACCTTTGTCAGCAACGCCCAGTCAATCTTAAACGCAAACAACTCCGCCTTCTCTGTCGGCACCCTGAACACAAACCCTAAACCCTAAACCCTAAACCCTAAACCCTCAGCTGCCATGAACAGGGCGACCTCCAGCAGCAGCAGAAGCAACAACAACAGCAATAATAGCAAACGAAGCCAGCATCAGCAGCAAGAAACACGCCCTCAGCAGCAGCAGAAGCAGCAGCAACAATAGCTGCGGCAACCCTAACCCCAGCAGCAGCACTGCTACAATCAGCAGCAACACCAACAGCAGCAACAGCAGCACCAGAAGCAAAACCATCAGCAGCAACAGCAAAAACAGCAGCAACTACACCATCAGCGGCAGCAACCCCATCAGCAGCAGCAGCAGCATCAGCAGCAGCAGCCCCATCAGTAGCAACACCAGCAATCCTATCAGCAGCAACCCCATCATCATCATCATCATCATTAGCAGCATCAGCATCAGCATCATCATCATCATCATTAGCA